ATTCTAAGTACTTTACACATATTCACTCACGGTATCCCTCCAGCAATCCTGAGATAGATTCCACTTATTCCTCATTTTACAAACGAGGAAAAATTAATGAACAGAGACATTGTTACTTGCCCAAGTGCTTGTAAGTAAGAACTAGGTTTCAAACCCAGCCACCTGCTTCCAGGCTGTTTTAGCTGCTTTTTAAAAAAACAAAGTTATTGAAATAGTATATTAAAGAATAGGAAACAAAAAAGAAAAAGAAATGTTGTAAATTTTATCAGTCAACAGCAACCGGCTACCTATGAAGGAAACAGAAAGATTGTACTTAGCTTAGAAATTGTCAGAGTACAAGGGTGTTATCCATTAACTCGATGAGTCAAATGATGATGCAAGGAAAAACCTTCCATGGCGAGCTAAGACAATCACCTGAGTGGTTGTTAGGATTGTATGAGTCCTGAGAAATGATTCTGTCTTTGTTCTTGGGCAGCCATGTAGGAATAAACAAAATTAAGTGACAGGTTGCTTCAACTCTTGGTGATGCAAAGAAACCACATTCTGAGTTCATTAGACAGCAAATCACTTGACTCATACAATAAAGCTTAATAAACCTGAACTATTGTAAAGGAAACTCAAGGCTTTAACAATAGCAACAACAGCAGGCACACAGGTAAGCTCAGGACCACCACTAGCACAACCTCTGACTCTTGCTTCCAGCTGTCCTTGGATTTATTTTTACTGTTTATCTTTTTGATCTGTGATTATTGCTATTTATCTTAACTCCTATGTTTGAATAACTTTGGTCAAATCTAGTTAATAATCAAGGATTACTCCAGGGAAAATTGTAATTTGAGTAGTTTGTGTTACTTCTTTAATTTCTTTTTCTTTGATTATTGTCTTAGTACACTTTTGTGTCTAGGTAACGGAAACCCAAACTTAAACTAGCTTAAACAATAATAAAATTATTCCACACGTTTTTGAGGAAGTCTAGAGGTATGGCAGTCTTCTGAGTCACCAATTAGCTGGCAATGTTATCAAAGATCTAGTCAGTTTTTCATCTTTTTGTTCAGATAGCCACAGTGTGAGTTAGTATCTCAGTCTGATTCTCCTCTTGGTCACAGGATGGCTGCCATAGCAATTGCCATCCTGATTCGCGCAGGATGACTGAAAGAATCTGGCTATCTGTGACAGCATCTTAAGAAATGGAAAGAATGCATTATATGGAAATTAATTACCACAGGCCACCACGTCTTTGATTCAACAATGAATAAAATTACAGTCAAATTTATGGAACCATAAATTGCAAACCTACCTAATTAACAACTTTAGTGAAGAAGCTTCTGCCACAAGGTTTTAGAAAATACAAAGCACAAATTAGGAATTAGTTTTTTTTTGGGCGGGGGAAGAGCTAACTTTAGGAAATATACACCTAGTGCCATAAAATTTAAGCTATACCTGTTTATAGTTAATCTGTTTACAGTCATCATAAAAGAATTTTAGTCTATTTTGAGTGAAAAAGCAAAGAGTTTTCCTGTGACATTCAAGATTTATTTTAATAGTTATCTTCCAACTACTGGCGACTAGAATTATTGAGACATTAGTTAGAATGTCATTCAATTTGTGGCAGAGAATTGTATTTGTTCCCTTAACATTGTAAACACTTTGTTATTCGAAGTTAATTTTGCTCCCCAACGTTGTGACGCATAAATGATGACCTCACTCTTCCTAATGACAAATCAGTAGGTAAGAGTTGAACATTTTCTTTTTGAGTTAGGAAGATATTTTGAAAGCATTTTCTCCTCATGTTAGGAAATGCACAACTAACAATTAAAATAAATGACTAACAGATTCATTTAAAAACACAATGCAAACTCTTATTTTCTGTACCTAGAAGCTTCGGCAAGACTCTTCTTGTGTATCATTAGCTATACACACATGCACACACACACCACACAAGTGTATTAGTATGAGGTAAAGAAATTGTTATGCTTGCCAATCTGCTGTACTCTTTGGTTTGTGAAATCTTGGACTAAATGAGATGGCTTTCACTTCTCAGAGTTGTGTTAGATACTGTAGATCATTTAAGATCTACATTCAGGGATCTTGCCATCTATCTCAGAAAGCAATGTCCATCCATGAGTAATGACTAGTCAGTCCCAAATTCTGTGCGGAGATTTGAAGGGCCACAGGGAGCACTCCAGTGAACCACTGAGGCCCAATGCCATGTAATGTCTCCTTGTATCTGCTTCCCTCCAGTCCGGGAAGTTCAATAAAGGCCCTGAATGGAAATAACTAGTCATGTGTATTTGACATTAGTACTTAGGTTCACAAACAAACAAAGGGACTTTTAAATAATTATGTCTATAACTGGAGTTAATATAAAATAACCATGATTAGATGAAAATCTAAAAAGTTGGGGGTGAGATTTTGTCAACTCATCCTAAAGATACTCATTGTGTAGCAGTAAGTATTGTGAATTTTATAAAATAAATATTATAACACCTATAAAATATAAATAGAAAAAATATTTGTTCTAAATTCTTCAAAATTTTTATTTTATATCAGCTTGTGCTTATGATGTCATTATTATTATTTTTCTTTCTTTAAGAAAGAAAGGAGAATTTGATACTTCCACAGGGCAAAATCTTTTATCTAAGAGAGTTCAGATACTTTGGGCTGACAATCAACAGTGTCAGAGACTATGGGAGATCAATAAGGAATAAGACACATAGACCTTGCTTTCAAAAGTTTATAATCTAATGAGGGAGAAAATAATGAGGCATTTAAACTCAAAGGAAAGTAGTAAAAAGGTAAATCACATCTTCTTATGAAAATATTTACTAATTCCAACATGGCTTTTTAGAATCTAAAGTAATTCTGCCATGATTTGTTTTACTTGCCTAATTATAGACAGGGGCTACACAAGGATATTCTTGAGCCTGGGGAGTATTTTATGTAATTGTTATTTTCTAATATATATTTTCTTTCTTGAGTCAAAGAAGGAATCCCACACCCAGGAGTTAGGGCAGCTTAGAAGGCTTTCTGGTGAGACTTCCAGAGGAAATTCTTTAGAATATTTCACATACACTTGGCTCTCAGGATCTCCTTCTCTTAATCCTTGTTGCTATTCTGAGCAAAGGTCAAATATAACTGTTGGAGCTTTTCATTAGGTTTTATCCTGTCTTTGACATTTTCTTTTAAATGTGAAGTGGTTGTCAAAGACCCGAAAAGAATCTCTCTCTCTCTGCCCTGCCCACAGTTCCCCCGAAAGTTTGATTTGGCTTATAAATCAAAGGAAAGGAGAAAAGAGAACATAAGAGAAGCAAGGAAGCCTGAATAGGATAAGTGCCTTGAAAAAGTTTGCATTTTTCTTGTTGTTTTATTTTGTTTTTCAGATGAAAGAAAGAGAAGAAAAACCATTTGCTCTTCTGCTCAGATCGCATTAAGTCCTGAACTTGGGGTGGTGGTGAAAAGAAAATAAAGAATGCCCGGGTCGCCATCCGGGGCTCTAACCACTAGGGTGCCATTTCCTGCTTTGTTTTCAGAAATACATTTTATCCATTCTAAACTTTGATATATATTTGATATACAAAATGAATTTAATAAACTTGAGTTGTATAAAAATGAAATAAGATTTGTCAGTCAAAAGACCTTCCTGACCAAGAGTCACTACCTTACCTGAGGAACATACCCTAAACCACATCATTTCTCTGACGGTCCCTTTGAAAAATTCCTGACCTCCTAGCACTTCTGCTCTCACAGCTTTTTCCTGTTTTAGCAGTACTCTCTTATCCCATCAAACAGCTTTCGGTGGTGAAAACAACAGGACTGGAGATGAAGGACTCATCAATTCCAATGTAGACAGAAAAATGACTAAAATTATCTGGTTCTTGAGTTACTTTCTTGTTCACTTCATAAAACATCCCAAACATTCATCACATATCAGCTTTCTGATTGCATTTCAACCTGACCATTGTGTTTGTCAGTTCCAATAACTTTTACAGCCCTGTCTGCCTTTGTCGGAAGCTGCTGGTGGAGGCTTGCCTTTCGCCCCTTGGTCTTCAAGGGTTAGCATGAGAAGCAGGGCTTCACCACAAGTTCCTGCCACTCTCCCGGGCTGCCACATGTCCCTCTTCCCTCAAGTCAGAGCCTTGTGAGGGGAACTGGTTTGAGGGGAGGGGTGATAGTGCTTAGTTCTTAGTGCTTAGGGCCCAAGTGCTTAGTGGTAGATTTTGGGTGAGCTGCAAATGTGCTTCCAGACTCGTCTGAGCACCTTCCACAGGGGAGTCTGAGCAAGACAGACACAGGACAGACTGGGAAGAGCACTGGTCTGGGAGTGACTTCAGTGATCTGAGCAATTACTTAGCATCTCTGACCCTCAATCCTCCGCCGTCTCCTAGAAACAATGACAATGACACAGAAACGATGATGCTCACCCTATTTACCTCACTGATGTGTTATGGTGATCAAATTTCAGCACATATGGCAAAATCTTGGTGAACTCTTAAGCACTTCACAAATTATCAGCTTTCATTAATATAGATTCCCTGACCACTGTTTGCCCCAGGACCGTGGCTGTGAGGTTAGCTTCCGTAAGTCCAGTTACCTGGTCCCTGTTCCCCTCCACTCTACCCTGTACCAGCTACCTGCAAAGCTGGCACGTGAAATCTATGGATATCTATGATAAGAAGGCTGTTGTCTACCACCCCACACCACATTTCCTGATTAAAATAAAAACTCATTAGTTAACATTTCCCTTTTTCTTCACTCTTTAATCCGTGAAGGTTTTTGTGATAGTTTGGATCCAGGTGGTATGAAAAGAATTGTCCCAAGGTGTTTCTCTTCCAGGAAAAGAATCAAGACATCTGTGGATGACGTGCTAAGGTAGTCATTGGCAACTTCTCTTCCATTTCCTGGTTGGCTCATTGTTTACCTAATTGCCAGTAATAATATTTCATTGTGTAAAGAATGTTGGCACCAGGGGCCCAGGTTCCAGTTTATTGATGGCTCAGAGTTTATGAATTGATGCCCTCAGCAGGTTGCTGCCCTGATGAATGGCAATTACTGTGGCTCCCACAGAGGCGATTGTAGCCAGAGCATTTACTCCTTTCAAATAATTGCCCCTGAGAAGCTGAACAGGTAATTGTAACATCTGAAAACCATGCTTTTGGCTCAGAATCAAAGAGTATTAATCTCCATAACAGAGGTGTTTTGGAACGACCCAAAAGAGTTGTTAAAGAATGGTCTCCAGAGTGTTTAATTTTAAGATGAATTAGAGAAACTTTAGCAAGAACCCGCCTCCCTAATGAAAATTAAAACGTTGTAAAGACACCTAGGTAACAGTTAGGGGTGCCCACCTTTTTGAAGTTGTAATACCCTATGGTAATTGGTTGATTTTAGACTTTATACCTACCATTACTCCTCCTTAAAATGCTTTAAGCAACCCTGCTCCAGCCAGACTAACCTGCCCATTAACCCCCGAAATGTTATGTGTTCCTTCTTACCCCAGAATATTTGTCATACCATTTTTCACTGTCATTCAATAAATGTATGCTATGAAAAAATGACAAAGTAAAGTTATTTGAAATACAATTTCATTTTGCACCATGATTTAGGTGAATTTAATTAATTACTAAAGGCCCTTCCTTCCAGATAGTGTTAAAATCTTGGAGCCGTGCGTATGTCTTCTACCAAAAGGTTATCCAAGTTAGACCTTCTACTTTATTTATTTTGATGCCATGGGAGAAATGGGAAATAGCCACATAGGATAGCTTCTTTGCTTAAACTTTAATTTGGGGGAAAATATTGCACAAAATGGGAAAGAAATGTAAAGAGACTAATCCATGATGGGTTTTTGGGAAAAAAGAGAAAAGAATATCAAAAGTGAATGTCAGTTTAGAGTCGCACCTACAACTTTGACGTCCTCTTTGTGGAATAAGGGTCAGAAGTCTTTGAGAGACATTGGAGGAAAGGAAGAAAAGAAGAATAGCGAAAAAAAATTCAAAATATATAAGGATGTAGAAAGATCGTAAACTAGTTTTGAATTCTAGAATACTTGATGTTTAAACATTTATTCTCTTCAAAGTTTTGGAAATAAATCCAGTATTCTGAAAGAGAACTACCAGGTAGGCTTTCCTTCCAGGCGATCCAAGCACTATCGTTCAAAGCGCCAGGGTTTACAAAAGGTTTTAGTGTCACCATATTTCAGACTGATTAGTAATGCTAAGAGGAATGATTAGAAGACTTGAGACTGAATTATAGGATGGTTCAGAAATACTCAATGATTAGAACTAAAACTGTAAAAAAAATGATTATGAAATTAAGGATGGGATAAAATTATGATCGTGCATAAAATTAAACATGAAGTAATCCTGTAAACACACACACATGCATACACAACTAGACGGACCTAAAGGATACCAAGTAAAGATATAGTGACCCATGTGACCATAGACAGAAATTACGTTATCTTGATTTACCTTAAGACTTCAATACTCAAGAATTTCCTTCTTATATAATCATGACCTTGTTCTGCTAATTAGATTATTGGAACTGAGAGTTTTATGGGCTCATAGAACTAGACATGAATTTTAGAGAGCGTGTGTTCCAGACGTCTGCCTTAAGGCAGATAAATATGTGAACCAAGGATGACAAATAGGTTTTAATTTAGAGGCTAATTCCAATCCATCTGTAGTTGACTGACTAGAGCAACGCGTTGAGGTGGATTTTGCGGCTGAGTTCAAGTCCAAGAGGAAGGAGTGCTGAGTCTGACTGATAACGTAGGGTCTGACTTGCTAAGACCCAGGAATAGGAGCCCAGACACATATTGGGGTGGAGGCTGGCTTGAATGTCCTTCTCAGTCTAACTTCTTTAGGTACAAGGAAGGTAGCGTATAGTGCAGATGATCAGTCAATCGGTATTCTGGGGTACAATTTCATAATACGGATATATTTAACCTGCATTTTCTTTTACCAAAATTGTCTTTGGCATATGAGGGACTTTTTAGTTGGCTTCTATATCTTGAGAAAATAAAAAAATGTTTCATACTACAAACTCATTGCCTTTCATTCCTTTAAGGTTTGGAAGTTCTAAAAAATGGGCATACAGAGAACAAGAGACATGTTCTTGAAGTGAATGGCATGTCATGTCAACGGCTCTTCTTTATCCTATGCTCTCCTCATTCAGGGCGTACAATAGCCCAAGACCTCTGCCTGCTTCATCATTTTCTTCCATTACTAACCCACCAAATGCTTGGGTAAACTATGCAACCATAAATGGTCATTATATTCATTTATCCTAACTGCAAACTATTCATACGTAATAATCACCCAGCATAATAAGAATTGATCAGGGGCCAGCCCCGTGGCCTGGTGGTTAAGTTCAGTGTGCTCCACTTTGGTGGCCCGAGTTCATGGGTTCAGGTCCCGGGTGTGGACCTACACCACTCATCACCCATGCTGTGGCAGGCGTCCCACATATAAAATAGAAGAGGACTCGCACAGTTGTTAGCTCAGGGCTAATCTTTCTCAGAAACAAACAAACAAAAAGAATCGATCATATTAAAGAAGTGTCTGATTTGTTTTGTGGTATGCTGTACATGCTTCCAAGAGTGAATTCTATTGGTTCCTTCTTCACAGAGGCTCACCTCTTTGGCATGGTCTCCTGCCACAATTTAAAGCTATCAGAGGACTTTGAGATCGTCTGATGATTTTCTTGACCCTGATTTATTCTTGCTCTCTTCCAATGGCCTGTTCACTCCTTCTCTGTGTCCTTTCTTTGCTCTTTCCCTTCCACCTCCACCCTGGTGCATTTGTTCATAAATTCAGCAGGCATTCGTTGATAATTACCTTTAACCAGTTGACTAATATATGCCAGACACCACAGTAGGCACATTTTAATATTTTCTCTTGGTTCTTTACGGCAGTCAAAAGAGCTCAACATGACTATCCCTATTGTATGGTTGAGGAAATTGAGTATCAGAGATGTCAAGTAACTTGTTCAGCATCACACAGCTAGGGAACACTCTGATGGAGATTGGAGTTTAGTTATCCTTTTTCCGGTGATCCTCTTTCACTTGAAAATTACTGCTTAGTACTGTGGCATCTATAGAAGATGTTATCCAAACTTTTACAAACTTAAAAATTTGAAACATACTTAGTTCATTATCTAGCTATTTTATGTCTTTTATCTACCCAGTCATGTGGTTCCATCCTGTCCCCCATCACCACTAGCAATAGCTTGGGCCTGCCCTTGTCACCTAACAGTTGGGACCAAAAGCCTCATCATTAACGCCCTAGACTGTGTTGTGTTCTTTCTTGTAGGTAATCCGCATGCAGATTTTTTTCTGCTCCAAGGCCTACAGTGCTACTTCAACTGGTTTGCTGGGAATTACTAAGTAGGTACATAGACAAATATGTAATATATAGCTTATTTCATGTATTATCGATTGGTGGATATCATATCCATTCATTTAATAAGGAATCCTCGAATGGGTAGCCCTTATTGGGCTCTGTCAAAGATATAAAAAAGCATCATGTTTGATCCTTTTGGTCAAGATGAGATGATTTTGGAAAAAAGTGAGAACCTCACCTCCAGACACCAAGAGCTATGATACAAAGTAAAAAATGGTCCTGCAATAAGAGAGGTGCCGACTAGAGTTCATGAAAAAAAAGCTGGATCAATCAGGAACCAGCAAGGAAGAAGCCGCATCTGAGGTAGACCTTGAGGGGGATAGGTTTGGGGCTTGTAACACAGTGTAAAGACATGGCCAGGGGAGCTGTACAGCATGTTGGGGACGCCATGCAGACGAATGTGCCCGGAGTGGCCGGAGCACAGAGTACCTTCTCCTCTGACAACTGTGTGCCTCTGTTCAGGGACACCCTAGGTGGAGGCCGGTGCTGCCCTCTGGCTTTTTAACATTCCTCATCTTCTGAACTCTGCTTGTTCAGTTTCTGAGGTTCTCTCAAAATATTTTTTTTTCTCATTTTTTACCACACCTGATGCCTTTTCCACACTCTTAAAAATTTAATTCTGTTTGATCTAGTCAAGTTTGCTATCATTTCTGTGTGCCGATCCTCTTCCCAATTGATTATAGTCTCTCCAAGGCCGGGAATGCATTCTTTCTAATCTCACGTAAAACAGAGCCTAGACCTGAGCACACAGCAGACATTCAAGAAGTACTGGATATTTATTGAGTCTTTAGTTATGAATGAATAAAACTGTCCACAGAAAATGTGATTGAAAAATATTAAGTGAATATTTCAGATTTATCCCAGACAGCTATCTATGGAAAAAACTAAACATCAGTTGAAGAAAGGACAGGATCAAAAAATTCTTGGTACACCCTATTTCTGTTAAAGATATTTCTTCAATCAAAAACACTCATGTTGGATGAGTATTGTGGTATGTATCTACCTTTGAAGATCTATCTTAGGAAAATAGGAAAGAAAAAAAAAACATAGTCATTTCGTCTTTAAAGAAACATTCTCAAGCTTATGTTGAAATGATTCGTAACTCATTACCTAATCAGAGTGGGTCATATGCTTTTGACTAGAATTATTTCCACAAATATAAAGAAGTCTATTTCATTTTCCCCATTGAAATTCAACTTCGCTTATTAGTGTAGAATTATCCCCATGTTAAAATTCAGAATCTAAAACTGCTGGGTAATTTATACAAATTCTGTTATTGAAATCTGCCCACAGGATCACCTTGGCAGAATTAAGCTCAACCAGTTAAAAGAATAACTTATGGGAGAAATGTCAGAAAAGATGAAAACTCAAATTATGTGCTTGCATATAGTGTCTGAGCTGACACTGCAACTGGTAAGTTTCACAAGTCTTATTATCTAAGAAAATTAAAGGGAAAACGTTTCATTCTTTCTCTGACTTGACATTGATTGTTGTTGCCTCCTGACTAAGAGTGTGTGCAGTTCCCCCAGAGAATGATTACTTCTTGCTTCCCATCCTAGCAATCTGCTAAATCTTTTCTCACTTGAGAGAAAGTTTTCCAAATTGCATATTTAGTTTACAGTTTTTCCTATCATTGTTTATAGTTTCCTGCATATTTTCTGTCTTCCCAGTTCAACAGTGATTTCTCTTATGGCAAGAGCTGACATCTTTGTCTTCCCATTCGCTCTGTCAGTGTTCTGAACAATGTTTATTAGTCTTTGAAGAAACCGGTAGAGGAGCAGATAGAGCAACTCAACCCATCTTTTAAAACGTATTTCTAATGAGAGTGACAATTGCTGTTTTTTTAGCTACCAACTTTGTCACATATCTCAAACCGTTGTCTATCCAAGAATAGGGCTCAGGACAAGGTCAAACTTGCCCTGAACATAATGGCACAAATTCTGGATCACACTATGAGTGTCTGCTACCGAACATACACTGTTCAGTTGTTGAAAATACACATCCAGCTGTTGGACGTATGCCTGGACCAAAAATGCTCAATGAATTAGGACTTTTTTGTTATTGAAGAATATTGCCTTCAGCTGACTAAGTCGGGTTTCATCTCCTGAAAACTCTATGAACATGCTCTAAAGTTTTTGATAGAGTGCTGTTCCCATGGCATCACCACACAGATCAAATCTGAAGTGTGGTACCCACTCAGAGTTCCCCCCAAAACACAGTTACCTTGAGCCAAAGCAACCCTGCTGGACCATTGACTGAGATTCCTGGCACTGTTCTTTTATTCTTTCTCTTTGACTTTGCAATTTTGTGGCAACTGCCTTTGCCCTGAAACCATTTATTCTAGAGGACACATATTGGTGGGGATATATATTTTCTCACACAGTCTGGTTGCCACATTTAGTCAAAATTAGTTAAATATTCCAAAATTTGGAGGTAGTCGAAGGTGCCTTAAAATATGTTTCAAGATGATACTAAACATACGTACTTACAATTCAACTTTCATATCAGAAACTTAGTGCCAAATAAAGCATGCTTTTGTGAGAAATATTTTTAAGACATTCTGATAAAAGAGTGTATTTTACATATAGAACTATGAACTTGGTTCTCTGTGGTGATGGGGTAGGGTGAGAACAATTCATTAAGGAAATGACACAAAAGCTAGATATTAAAGATTAAGCAGGATTTTTACAGGGAGAGAAAGGCAATTTAGGCATGGGGATTTGCATGAGCAAAATGAGTGAATGTTCAGAGTGAAAACTCAAAAGTCAAAAGGATTCTATTAATTACAGTGTATAAACTATGGACTAAGAGTTAAGGGAAAACAATGAGGAAAAGAAAGTGGTCCCCATTAATATAATCTGGTAGAAAAATCAACTTAAATAACTCAGCTATAAGAAATGTAAACGGAATGAGTGAGAACTCATCTCATTCATTTTGCTCATCTCGCTCACGGTGAAAATGATTGTGGACTGTAGAGAAGGGAGAGAACATGGCGGCTGTTACAGGAAGGTTTCTCAGAAAAATAGAACTTGAGCTAGCTTCTGAAAGATAAGTAAGAATGCGGGAGGCGGATCCAGGAGAAAAGGACATTTCTGGGAGAGGAAAGAGTATGAGAGTGAATTGAAGAGGAAGAGAATGTTCCTAGACTGGTGCAGATGCCATTGCGACGGGGAGGTGAGGCTCTTTGGTTCCCAGGTGTGGAAGGAGAAGGTGATGAGAGTAAAATCTGGAATGGTAGCTTGGAGCTGAATGGCAGAATTGTTTGAATTCTGGATTGAGAACCTTTGACACTGGGATGAGGAGACAGTGGCATGGTTTGATCTGTGTCTTGAGTTCAGTGGAGAAGCCAAGCTTAGAGATTTTGCCATAAAGAATGGTTAATAAGATTACTTTTAATGTGAGGAACAAGGCTGAAGATAGAAAAAGTCTTCCATACAAGGAGAGGTAAGAAATAGAGAAATCAGAGAAAATTAAGAAAGAGACCGCAGGAAGATGGGAGGAATATCTTGTGCAACAAATTTTCATTATTTTCTTTGAAAACACATCCAGACACATCGCCAGGGAATCTGCGCCCTTCGGCCTCTTGGACCTCAGCAGAGACTTGGCATATATATAAGTACCATGCGACTCTTTGAAGGGTTGGAGTGATATAGGACCCTCAATTCCACTCTTTTAAAATTTTTTTAAAATTTTTATTACTTTATTAAGGTTATCTTGGCTTATAACATTGTGTAAATTTCAGGTGTACATTTTGTGTTTCAGTTTCTGTACACTGCGTTGTATTCACCACCAATAGTCTAGTTTTTATCTGTTCACCATACGTATGTGCTCCTTTATCCCTTTTGCCTCCCTCCCACCCCTTCTCCTCTGGTAATCTGTTCTCCTTATCAATGTGTTTATCTTCCACATATGAGTGAAATTATATGGTGTCTGTCTCTCTCTGTCTGACTTATTTCACTTAGCATAACACCCTCAACGTCCATCCATATTGTTGCAAATGGCACAATTTTGTCTTTTTCATGTCTGAATAGTATTCCGTCATGTATATAAACATTCATCCATTGACCAGCACTTGGGTTGCTTCCACTTATTGGCTATTGTGAATAATGCTGCAATGAACATAGGAGTGCATAAAACAACTCTACTCTTTTATTCTCTCCTTCACCATGTCATCCAACCCAAAGTTAATTTATTCTATAACTCTACTTTGTCGTCCTCTAAAACCTCTACATACATAATTTTGTAACTAAACCACAAGAGATAAGTCTATACTACTACTGTTAAAGGATTTCTTGATGGCTTGTGCTTGTCATTAGGAGAGCCAGAAAATGACTAGAATGGCATTCTGAATAGTTCTAAAAGAGATTTCTTTTTTCAGATCCACACAGAGTATGGATCTAAAATCTGTTCTTCAGGATCCTTTGACATCAAGCTAATAATTAATTTAGCACACTATTATGTAGTCTTTTCTAGACATTTGTCCATTTATTGGCCTAAAATTGCTCATAATATTCTTTTTTTCTCTTTAATTATTATAGGATTTACCATTTTCATTCCTGATATTGGTAACTAAGGTGTTCTTCTCTCTCTCTCCCTGTTTCCCTGTCTCTAGTTGGTTAATGTTGCTTTATTGTTATTAATTATTAATATTTTCAGAAATTATTTTTTGCTTTAGTTAAATTTCTCTATTGCATGTTTGTTTTCTATTGCATTAATTCCGCTGTTACATTATGATTTCTTTTCTTCTACTTTCTTTGAGTTTCATTTCTTGCTTTTTTTAACTTCCTGAGATGATATTTAGATAATTTTCAATCTTTCTTTTTGTCTAATCTATAGATCTGAAGGGATATATTTCCCTCTAAGCATAGCTTTAGCTGCAGTATTTCACACATTTTAATAGTTATATGTTTATTGCCATTCAGTTCATTTATTTTCTAATTTCCATTGTGATTTCTTTGACACACAGGTTATGTAGAAATGTGTTACTAATTTTCAAATACTTAGGGACTTAAGGATATTTTTAGTGATCGATTTGTAGCTTCATGCTACTGTGGTCAGATAACATATTTTCAATAGTTTCGTTCTTTCAAATTGATTAAGATTTGCTTTATGGTTCAGGATGTGTTCAATTTTGGTCAATGTTTCAAGGGTACTTGAAAAGAATATCAGTCTGCTGGTGTTGAGTGTAGTGTTTCATACATGTCATTTAAGTTAAATTTGTTAAACATGTCAATTTTTCTGTATCCCTATTGGTTTTTATTTTTATCAGTTTCTGAGTGAATATATGAAAGCAATTGCATATATTTTTATATTTCCTTCTAGTTCTATCAATTTTGATTTTACTAAGTAAAGAGAAATTTAGAATTTCAAACATTAGGAAATTCTTATTTTAGATCAGATCTAGTAATGATTCCTACATTAAAGTCTACTTTATCCAATATTAGTTTGGCTTTATCAGATTTCTTTGGTTTCCGATTTGCAAAATAGAATTTTTCCATCCTTTAATTTTTAAACTTTTTTATATTTAAAATGTGCCCCTTGTAAATAGCATATGTGTGATCCTGTAGCATCATTTTCTTTCTGTCTGAGGAATTCCCTCTAGCATTTCTGTTAGTGTAGTTTGGTCGTTGATATATTCCCTCAGGATTTGCTTGTCATAAAACGACATTATTTTGCATTTGTTTTTGAAAAAAAATATATATATGTATTTTTTTTTGAGGAAGATTAATCCTGAGCTAACATCTACCATCAATCATCCTCTTTTTGCTGAGGAAGACTGGCCCTGAGCTAACACTGTGCCCGTCTTCCTCTGCTTTATACGTGGGATGCCTGCCACAGCATAGCCTGACAAGTGGTGTGTAGGTCCACACCGGGATCCGAACCAGTGAACCCTGGGCCACCAAAGCAGAGTGTGCAAACTTCACCACTACACCACTGGGCTGGCCCCTGTTTTTGAAAATGCCTTTACAAGGTATAGAATTCTCACTTGGCA